AGACAATTATAGGATGCATCCCTTTCCTCCTGGGAATCCCACTCCTTGCTGCCCTGCCCCCACTTCAGCCCAATATGAAGCCTACCTCAGTCTCCATTCACTTTTTTGGCACTCACGTAACACTTGACCTCTAACTGACTTGTCAATGAGACAAGCAGCCACAAACCATATCCTTACCCCTGAACTACAGTCCTCTTCCCTCAATGCTCTCAAATAAAAGTACTAAAAGGTTCTATGTAAATGTAGATTACTTCATGTGTATGTTTCAGCCCATTACTCCTCCCTGTCAAAAGCCTTTCTGTTGGCTGACTTTAGCACACATAGACTGTCCTCCCAGCTGAGCATCACCCCTGACCTGACAGACAGGTTGGCAAGACCAGCATCAGGTCGGGCCTGGAGGCCTTTTTTGAACCTGACCCTGATTATCTCATGAGGAGGCCTGGGTTCCAGGCAAAGACAGAACCATCCTCACCTGTGGTTAGAGGCCCTAACAGTCCCCAGGTACTGAAGACACACTTTTTTTACTATTAATTTCAACCTTGTCTCAAAAATCTTCCTGATGGTACGGCCTGTGATGTGGCAACTGCATTCATGAGCAATGAAAGGTAGAAAAGAGGCCTAGAGAACTGTGAAGTGGATCATCAGATCCTGAGCCAGCTGTGGGGGAATATGGAGAACTGAGTTTGTGCCAGGAAAAATGAATCTAAATGGATAGTATCCAGGCTGATGGCCAACTGCATGCCAGGCACTGTGTGGCACTCTACATGTACAGCTATTCCTTACCTCACCCCTAAATCAGCTAAGTACTGTTCTACCTATGAGAAACTTAAGGCTCATAGGAGTTTGGCGATTGCCCAAGGTCACATTGCTAGTGACTAAGCTGCTAACAAGACCTTCCTGACTTCAGAGCTTATGCTTGTCACACAGCATTATTTTGTCTCCCAAACACTCCCAGAGAACAAGTAGATAAAGATCTGGAAGGTCCCTCAGCGAGAAGCCAACAGAAACAGACTGATTCACAGGTCCAAAGGGATGCGAGACAGAGTAAAGGAACAACACCAGCGCTTCTGGGCAGCGCCCACAGCACGCGCAGGCACTGTCCCAGCAGCCCAGGCACCTTGGTGAAGGAGGTTCATGGCCATGCTGTCCAGTTCTTGCTCTGACTCGTTCCTCAGCTGCATTAAGGAGAGGAGGCTCAGCAGCAACGGCAGGTTCCCTGAGGCTGTGAGAATGAGGAGGCTGTCAGGGGCCTGATACTCAGATCAACCCAAGCTCAGTCAGACACCCCGCTCTGTGTTAAGTGGTTTGTTGGGATCTACCCCTGTTTCCTGCTTGCCTCCTTCTTTACTGCGGACAAGTGCAACTGACATACTGAGTGCCAGCTCTGGAGTGAGTACCAGGAATTCTATATTTCACTTCATCCCCTTAAAACCATGTGAAACAGGGATTGTTATTCCTGTTTTGCATTTAAGAAAAATGAGACCCAGAGAGGCTGAGTAACTTCTCTCCAAGGTTCCACAAACGGTAAGTGGCAGGGCCAGGAATTGAACCCAAATCTGAATCCAATGCCCATGGGCTTTCCACTGTGTGTTCCCATAAAGTTTCACGGCTCTTACACACTATCAGCAGTTAGGGCTTATCCCTGGAAAGGAAGGACTCAGCTCCTCCAGGCACCCTTAAGCTTACCTCCAAACCTGTCCTCAGTCAGGACTGGACCACAGCTCTCCCCCAACTTCCTCTTTATTATCTTTTATTTTTTAAGATTTTTTTTGAAATAGTGTTGATATATAATATTACATTGGTTTCAGATGTACAACATAGTAGTTCAACAATTAGATGCATTACTAAATGCTCATCACAGTAAGTGTAGTTACCATCCGTCACCATACAAAGAAATTACAATATTATTTACTATAGTCCCTGTCCTGTATTGCCACCCAGTGACTAATTTGTTTTATAAGTTAAAGTTTGTATCTCTTTATCCCCTTCACCTATTTCACCCATCCTCCTCCCCACATGGCAAACATTAATCCCTTCTCTGTATGAGCCTTTTTGTTTTGTTTGTTCATTTGTTTTGTTTTTTAGATTCCACATGTAAGTGAAATCATATAGTATTTGTCCTTCTCTGCCTCACTTATTTCACTGAGCATAATATCCTTTAGGTCCATCAGTGTTGTCATAAATGGCAAGATATCATTCTTTTTGGGGTTGAGTAATATTCCATTGTGTGTATATGCCACATAATTATCTATTCATTTATTGATGAACACTTAAGTTGCTTCCATGTCTTGGCTATTGTAAATAATGCTGCAATAAAAACAGAAGTGCATATATCTCTTTGAATTAGTGATTTTGTTTTCTGCAGGTAAATTCCAGATGTGGAATTCCTAGGTCATATGGAAAGGAGGAAAGACTATACAATGGAGAAAAAACAGTCTCTTCAATAAATGGTGCTGGGAAAACTGGACAACTACATGCAAAAGAATAAAACTGGATCACTCCCATTTTCTCTTAATTGCTTAGAAATTTAACTTAAAAATTCAGCTTTCTATAGGGAGTATATAGTCAACAATATCATATTGTCTTTGTATGTTAACAGATGGTAACTATACTTACAGTGGTGGACATTTTGTAATGTATATAATTGTCAAATTACTATGTTGTACATCTGAAACCAATATAATATTGTATATCAATTATATTTTTAAAAGTCAACTTTCTAAAAGTAGGAAAAGACAAACCAATCCTAGTCTTTTCAGGGTCTTCATACTGAACCAAACATCAAGCTTCCTTGACTCCACGAAGTTCCATTCCAGATTTGGAAAGTATCTATCTAAACCTCACTGGGAGCTTCCAGTGTATCACAGAGTCACCCTTGCCCTGGCCCCTGCTGGCTGCTACTGCCTCCCTGGCCTCCCCGTCTCCTGCTTTCTTCTTCCCAACTGGGGCTGCCTTTCTTGTAACAAACAGCTCTGGGCACATGCATGCATCAAACACACCTACCCAGGCTAAACACACAGAGACATTAAACATAAACATATACCACACACACACATTCAGACATCCCAAACCAAGAAGGGTGAGTACCCACTGTCCAAGAGAGGAAGGAAGTAATGTGTAGTCTGATGCATGCCACACTGGATTGACTTTTCTTTTGCAGAGAAAACTCTGACTCTCTCTCCTGGAGAAGGCTTCATTCATCAGGGTAGAAATAACCTTCAGACCAAAATGTGTGCTCAGCGGCTGTAGACTGACCTTCTCGGGGGGATGCCTCATGCTCCACCAGCAGATGCTGTAGGATTAGCAGGAAATGGCCTCGGATGAGACCATCCACTTGTATATCCTCATTCCTCCACAAAAAGCTCCTAAGAACCATCAGTACCTTTCGGGCTGTGTCCACTGGGCTGGAATAGATGAGGTCCTGAGCAGGAGAGATGGAAGCCAGAGCTCAGAGAACACGATGGTTGGGACAGGTGGACAGTGAAGAAGAGAGGGTTTGGGAAAGGGCCCAGGATGCTGTGCCACAGAACCCGGGGGAGGAAACACTCACTTATCATCTATCAAGTACCATCCTGTTGAACAGGTCCATGCTAAACAGGAAGAAATGCAGGCTCAGAGAGATTATGTGATGTGCCAAAGGTCACATAAGCCAGTCAATGGCAAAGCTAGGTTTGAATTCAGGTCTCCCAGCTCCAATGACAAACTCTTTCTACTTTCTAGGTTGCCTCTCTCTTGAAAATGTAATTATTAGGGTCAAGAAGAAGTTTTTTCAGAATAGGAAACCTGAGAGTGCCTTAACAGAGTAGAGAGGGGAATGGAGACGTCACAGGGTAGGAGAGGATGAGTTAAGACGGAAGGAAAGGGAGGACTAGGTTAGGCCACTTCTCTGTCATGGCATTTGGCTACTTCTGCCCCAAGATGTAAAGGCCTTGGGTTTGGAAAGTGGGAAAGCACATTGCTTTTTATTTGTTTTCAGTTATTTTAATAAGGGTATGTTAGATGCAAAGTCAATCAGAAGCCACACCAGAGATAGCTCCTGACACCTACCAGCCCAAACAAGCCAATTCCTTCAGACAGGCTAACATGCTGGGCCACTTAGGGCCACATGCTATGAATCCAAGGTCACATACAGACACTTTCCAGGGAGGACAGCTTCTGACACACAGAGACACATGCTACAGGGTACATGACCAAAGAAACTGTAAGATGTGCTGATCACAGGGTGGCACAGGAGCATCTGGGCTTGGCTCTTCACCATACTCCACCGCTGCCAGGGAAACAACGATAATGTCAATTAACAATCACTCAATTAGGGCCTAAAAATAACAGGTATGATGCTGTGTTTAAACTGTCACTGCATGTTTGTTTATACATTATGTGTATCTTCATAACAACTTTTCCAAGTAGGTGTCACCTTAATTTTTCAAATGAGGAACTGGGGCAGATAAAGTAGTTTGCCTACCAAGAAAGCAGTGTAAATGCTACCATACTACAAGTTAATGAAGGGCAGAGGTGAGGTTTGCTTCATTTTTGTCACCTTGGAGAGACACTGTAAACATCTCTGGGAGGAGATCACAGGATGGGAGAGCTAAAGGGAACCTAAGTTCATTTCCATCCAACCCTCTTACTTTATAGAGTATAAGGCTGAAGCACAGAGGGGATGTGATTTGCCCAAGGTCACAGGGCCCAAAGTCAAACCAGTTTCTGGATCCTGTGCCTTCATCACTATGTAGCTGCCTGACTGCAATAGAGCTGGTCTCTCAGAAACTTGAGTTGGTACATTTTAAAAGTTCAAAGGGAAGGGAGCTACTTGACCTTTGGTAGGTGTGATGAATGCCAGGGGAAGGTGTGCACTCCACCACATGGGTCAGTGGGAAGGTTCTGGGCAGAACATAGCCCGCTCTTTAGTCTGCCCTGCTCAGAACAGTACAGCACTCTGGGATGGGAATACACCAGGGTGATATGTCCAAGCAAGGAACAGAGCTTCTCTGGCATCATTGTTTTTCACATCTAAGCAGCCTACATGAAAGACCACCCATTGATAGGAGTGGCAATTAACAGCTTTGTTTTCAGCTGTTAATTACCCATATCAAAAACAGAAATTGGTACCAACACATATTTTTAGACTCTTTTCCCTTTCTGTGACTAAAAGCTGGGGAGAAATGGTAGGAATTATATATATAAACAGAAAACAAAGTCGTTCCTCACTACTCCTTTTTTTACCACCAATGTTTCTAAGATCTAATTGAGTGAAAAACTCATCAACTGTAGGCCACAGTCATGGTCATGACCCTTACTAACTAATAATTCAATAGGCTTCTTTGAGATTAACATTCTTTATCTGGCTCAGTCAGTCAATGACCAGTGAATACAGCCTATGGTGTACAGCATACCAAGAGTGTTCCTACATATTCTTTTGTTTATCCTTATGTTAGCTCCACGTTACACATGAGGAAACAATCTCAGAGAAACCTTCATCTTCCTGGACCTCTATGCAATATCGAACGCTAAGGGCAGTTCCTTCTGGTTGAGCTGTAGGCCTGGTGAAGCACAAGGCTCCTCTCTGCCCTGCCCCAACCTCCTTCAGGCAGGAGGGGTGACAAGAATGGTACATATTCAAGGACAAGGTCCAGGCCACCACAACAAAGAGTGGGGCACCTGCTGCAGGGACAGGGACAGGGACTCTAAGGATTTGGTCTCCTGAGGTTCATTTTCTCTTTGGCTTGCTTCTTTTAAATACTTAAGTCCTTTGAAGCTAGTGGCCAACAATAGCCTTCAGCTAGGGAAGGGCTGCCACTCTAGAAAGATCTAGACTGAGAAGGAGAATTGGGAGAGGAAGATACTGAGCTCTATTGTAGACAGAAATGTTAGCTTTATGGGTCTGGAGCTCAGGAGAGAGGTCAGGAGTGGGGAGAGATTTGAGTCATTAGCATATGGCAGGAGG